AAATTGAAGATTTTTTAAGCGAGTTCCCCAAGTGTTTTACTTTCTTCACGTCTCTTCTTTATTTTTTTATTCTTATCTGAAGTGTGCCATTTTTCCCCGTTACACATGCACAAGTATTGCAGTACAGTCATTCAGTAATGAAAGTGTCTTACTTAGCATCGAAATTAATAGCATTATTGTTCTGAGATATTACTCGATCATTGTCATTATTTCCGAGAATGAAACCAAAATGACTCAGATTTTTCTTTAAATTTTCTTACGGTAACAACATCCTGTTTCATGAACAAATCCTGCCTCATAAATAGTTCATCAGACTTAGGTGTATTATAGAAAAGAGCAGACAGGAGTAAGAGAAAGAGAGATAGCGTCACAGTATTCTTCACAAGTACTTCAGTTCTTGCAACAAACAACAATTGCAGCCGGTTTTCATGTATGGGTCTGCCAATAATTTTTCTATATTGCTCTAACACAGCATTGCTTTGAAAGCGGTGTCAGTGCTGGATGGCCTCGCCTCCAAAAACTTAAGAGATCCAAATTGGCACCGCTTTAACAGCAGTTCATCCAACTCCTCCATAGTTGATTAAGCCTCCCGGTATGCACTGTTGGTGGTACTATGTATTGCACACATGGCCTATCAGGTCCTTGTGCAGTACTGCATCCTGCATTGAAACACAATGCAGTCATGTCTGCTCAAAGGGAAAGGTCAATGGAATTACAGCGTGCCCATTCACGGAATGCCCCGATTGCAAATCGGCTGGTAGATTTCCACGGCATGATGGCAGCATTTCAATAGCCACTACTAAATTTCCAAAAGTCGCCTGGAGATTCAAATTTTTTTAATTGAGGGGTCATTTCAAACAAAATGATTTGGTAGGATGCTGACTAATATTACTATCTTTATACCAGTTGGGCTTTTAAATAAAATTACATCAATATTTTGGGGGGTAATTACCATATTATTGTGACCCTACCTTAAAACAAAATAGGGTGGGATTTTGTATTATGTAAATGAAATGCACAGAGTGTATACAGGGTCAGAGGTCATTCACAATAATGTAGGCCTCCACACGAGGATGAATTATGTCAGCCAGCACACCTGTCCACCTCCATTCCTTCTGCCCGCCAACACAATGACAAGCCACTGTTTTATCATCAATCCTTCTGAACACATGTATGTAAAAATTTCTTCAGAGTATTGCAAAAGCATTGAGGTATCAATACATGTTGTATAATGTAATCATTTTTCAAAGTTCACAAACGTAACAAAACTGTTTCAAATCCAGTGAAGGCTACATTCGTAAACATGGTGTACATACTTTTGCTTCTCTTTTTTTTAACAAGAACAGTAACAATCATTTATATGAAAATAGGAAAATTATATTACCTTCCCATATCCAGACACTCTTATCTCTGCTGCAAGTTGCAAGTAAAGACCCTGATGGAGACCAGCAAACGCTTTTTACTTCATTTTCATGTCCTTCCAATGTAGTAATGCATTCAAACTCTGCATTCTTTTGACTCCAAATACAAGTAGTGCCATCAAAGCTTACAGACGCTAGTAATCTGCCGCACGGAGACCAACTAACTCGTCGCACAGTACGAGAATGGCCATCTTGAAGAACTGCTTTACATGTCCAGTCAATACCTGTACATGCACATCATACAAAGCGATGAATACATTGTAAAGCCTATGTATTCAAACTGCAATGTTTATTCAACATACATTCTAGAAAGAGCATATGGTCGAACAGAAAAGTGTCACTGATATGAGAAGACTCCAGAACTGCTACATGTTCCACTTCAAAAATGTAGAGAAAAGTAAAGCAATCCACCTACATGTGTCAATCCCTACGCAATGAACAAGCAAGTATGAGTACAAGAACTGGACAAAATCAACAAGTGCATTGTGTGTGCATCAATTACATTATTTAACCCATTTCTTTGCATGTTGAAAAACAATGTTACCCCAATTTTAGCAAAGCCCCCATTCCCACTTCAGGCCTGCTGTGGTATCACTACGTAAGTCTTGCTGCTTCTCCCTCAGTTTGAAAATCGGCCGCTCTGTGGTACTCAAAAGGGCTACTCAACTCAACTCCAGATGGTTGACTGGTGAGCTCCCACACAACTATCAACTGAGTACATA